TCCGAGCGACGGGGTCGCGGGCGGGAGGTGAAAGAAGAAAGGAAGCGAAGGCGTCGTGGACGCCTGTCGTCGGCGTCCTTGGCGCGGCGCGTGGCGTCGTGACGTTGTGTTGCGTGGCGTGGCGTGGCGTGGCGTGGCGCGACGCGGCGTGACGCTTCCAGCCAGCTTCCACGGCGAACTGCCTACACTGGGCTGCACCGGCTGATAACTGACACATCGGACGGGGCCGCTGTTAAGGACCGACACTCGCCTACGGGTGTCGCGTAGCTTGGTAGAAAAAAAAAGCAGCGCACCGCCCGCTAACGCCCTCTCGGGAAGAGTCGCGGCCGGGAAGCAGCAAGCCGAAACTCGGCGTGGAGGATAATCGAGCGCGGTTTCGGAACGGCTTCGATCGAGAGCTTTCCATCCGATTGGTTTAAATCGCAAATTAATTCACAACCCGATGGAATTTCGCTTAAAAAGGCATTTCCAATCCTTACGTAATCCTTTGTTCCTGATGTAATCTGTCTTGTTCGTTACGTAATAAAAGCTTCATAATATTCTATCCATCCATATTATCCGGCTATCGCTGGATAAGAGAGAGTTAACTACCGGTTAAGTGAAGTTCGGAGTTTAATTAAAGTTACCCTTCAGTCAGGGGAATGTTCTAAACGTTACGCTATTTTAAAGCGTGAGAAAATGTTTGTAAGGAAAATTCGCCTCATTAAAAAACTTTCTTATTTTTTTATAAGGAGAGATAGATTTAAAAAAATTCGAAATTTTAAACTGTGAGTAGTCGTTTTGCCTTGAAGAAAACAATAATTATATGAGACATTAAAATAAGATAGAAATAAATAAAAATGCAGACAACAGGGATGTCATTACAGGTATTATTAGAAGAAATACTGTGTATAATTTCCATAATTATGGGGTTCTCAAAAGTGTGAAATCCGCAAAAGTGTGGGGCCCGCAACAAACGTGCGATCACATCTTCTGCATATGCGTGCAAAAATCGGCCTTTTTATATAACATGACGATAATATTTTCAATATATTAAAAAAATATTCGGAATTCATTTTAACTCCGAATATTTTCGGAATCTACATCATACGTTGATTTATAAATTTAAAAAAAATATCATACATTGGAATATTAAATATAGCGATATGGCGATTCGAATTCGAAAGTGCCATTCATATCAATATATCCTTTTATAATTAAAAAACAATATATATAGCTAAACTGAGCAGACCTGTTCCGAAAGAGCTGAAATTTTTTTCTCACTCTTCCTTGTATAGAGTGAGAAAGCGAGAGAAAGACCGAAGGCCGCATGCGGAAATTCATGCGCACGCGCCGTATGGTATAAGAGAGGAAAGGAGGGGATGATATCAGAGTAGAGAGTCTCTACTGTATCGAGCGAGCGGGCGAGCGAGCGAGCGAGAGAAAGAAAGAGAGAGGGAGAGAGAGAAGTACAACTTGCGCGTGCTGTCAAAATATATACACAGTGCGCCAGAGCTGACCAGAGTGCACGGGGCGCCTGGGAGATAACAGGATTTTCCCTCCCCCCCCCCCTCTCTCTCGCGCCTGATCGCTCGTGTCTGATATCACCTCGAGATCGAGCGAGGAACGCTGACCCGTGCGTGAAGACGTGAATTCACACACGCGCGTAGTCGAGTAGTCGATAAAGCATCGAGTCGGCAGAGTGTCAAATTCACCAGTTCGAGGTCTTCATCAAGCTTCCCTTCGGCGAGTACGATGGTATGATTCCTGAAATTCGACACGACGCTTCACTCGAGTCGCCGTTCAGCGCGACGTGACAAGAACTCGTCCGACGGAGTTTTTACTGAGCACCGATCGCGCTTCGCGTCGAAACAGCTGAGATCGGTCGAAATGGAGTCAACAGGGCAGAATCAGCCATCTAACATCAATGATGGTTCCGACGCCAAGGGCAGGTGAGTTTCTCATCCTCTTCTTTTTTTACGGCTCTCTTATTCTTTGCTTTTACACTTTGTCTCCCAAATTCATTAAATTAATCGACAAAAAGTTTTGCGACAAGCTTCTTGAAAATTGCTATAGATAAGATTATAAGTGCGTATATTTTATTATTACAGTTGCTTGTTACTTCGCTACGCCAGCCAAAATTCTCTGGACGAGAGCTCGCAGAAGCACATTCCTCGTGAGAATGGAAAAGACAAACCACCATATAGGAATCACCATCATACAAATCGAGCTTTTGATGTCATCAATGAGATGAGAAAGTACACATCGTTTAGCTAATCAAAATATATCATTTAACATGCATCTTTGTAAAATTGAACTTTTGCTAGGATGTATCACATTTAACAAAATATATATATATATATTTTAGATTTATTGTTATTGTTTAGGAAAAATTTACTTTGTGACGTCATCCTGGTAGCAGATGGTGGAATGGAAGTACCTGCTCACAAAATGGTTCTCGCTGCGTGCAGCCCTTATTTTTATGCCATGTTTACAAGTTTCGAAGAGCGTGATCAAGAAAGAATAACATTGCAAGGCGTAGACTATTCAGCATTAGAATTATTAGTTGACTATGTTTACTCCGCTGAAGTCCATGTTACAGAGGATAACGTACAGGTGCTTCTACCTGCCGCAAACTTATTACAACTAACGGACGTACGAGACGCTTGTTGCGATTTTTTACAAGCTCAATTACATCCATCTAATTGTCTCGGTATTAGGGCATTTGCTGATCTGCACGGATGTCTTGAGTTGTTGGCACACGCTGATAGTTACATCGAACAGCATTTTTCGTAAGTTGTACCTTGAGTCCCAATCCATTTACTCATTGTCAGATTATATTACGCCTAATTGTGCTCTCAATATCGATCGTAGGGAAGTGGTTGACGCGGAAGAATTCTTAACATTGGCACCTGAACAAGTGGCCAAACTTATCTGTAGCGACCGTTTAATGGTACCTTCTGAAGAAAAAGTATTCGAATGCGTTATTTCCTGGGTACATCATGATCTTGAGAAGAGACAAAACGATTTAGCTCTCTTAATGGAGCATGTGCGCTTGCCTTTGCTTTCTCAAGAATACTTGGTACAACGCGTGGAAGAGGAACCGCTCCTCAAGGCAAATTTACAATGTAAGTTTGCTGTTACATTGTATATGCTAAGAAAGAAGCTGCATGTATTTCTCATGTATCTCGCATGTATCTTTTCGCAGGTAAGGACTTCTTGATCGAAGCCTTAAAATATCACTTACTTAAGGGTGAGCAAAAGTCGCTATTCAAAACACCGCGTACTAAACCGAGGCAACCGAGAGGATTACCTAAAGTATTGCTGGTTGTCGGCGGTCAAGCTCCAAAAGCGATTAGGAGCGTCGAATGCTATGACTTTAAAGAAGAAAAGTGGTATCAAGTTTCCGAATTACCAACACGACGTTGCAGGGCCGGTAAATAGCATTAATCGATTTATGAATCGAGCAAAAATCTCCGTTCCTTCCTGTAAAGTAATGTACAATTACTGTGTCATATATCGCAGGACTCTGTGTTCTTGGTGGACGCGTGTATGCCGTTGGTGGATTCAATGGTTCACTGAGGGTACGGACGGTTGATATTTACGACGCTGCGGCGGATCAGTGGTCACCCTGTCCCGAGATGGAGGCAAGGAGATCGACGCTCGGTGTAGCCGTACTTGGCAATTGCGTTTATGCTGTACGTTGTTTAATTCCTCTTTTCATCCCTTGCATTTCTTATTGCAAAGCAAATTATATTATATTTAAAATTTGGAAAATTTTTAATTAGAAATTTCTTTGCCTTTTTTTTTATGATGATCAATATTTTACATATGTAGGTCGGTGGTTTTGATGGTTCGACCGGATTAAATTCAGCTGAAGTTTATGATCCACGGACTCGCGAATGGAGACCAATCGCTCGAATGTCGACGCGACGTAGTAGCGTGGGAGTCGGAGTTGTCAAAGGATTACTCTATGCCGTAAGTTCATGTCGCGTATCGTTACTTCAAAGACAACTTTGTCTGTTACATGTTTATTAGAGAGAAACTCTGCGATTAGGTGGGCGGCTATGATGGAGAGTCTCGACAATGTCTCTCCAGTGTCGAGTGTTATAATCCGGAGAAGGACCAATGGAAACCTGTACCTGAAATGTCCGCGCGTCGCAGCGGTGCAGGTGTCGGTGTCCTGGATGGTATTTTATACGCGGTAGGAGGTCATGATGGTCCACTTGTACGAAAAAGTGTAGAAGCGTTCAATCCGGAGACGAACCAGTGGACTCCTGTCAGTGACATGGCACTGTGTCGTCGTAATGCCGGTAGGCTATTGCATTCTTATATATTTTTCTTCTTTCACATTATTTTATATCTGATATTATGCATGATCTGATAATGATGCAACAAACAGGTGTTGTGGCATTAAATGGACTTTTATACGTGGTGGGTGGAGACGACGGTTCCTCCAGTCTAGCATCAGTAGAAGTGTACTCTCCAAGAACCGATACTTGGACTACCCTGCCGACTTGCATGGGAGTCGGGCGTAGTTACGCGGGTGTTGCTATTATCGATAAACCGATGGCCCCCGCGACGACGATGTGAGGTCTACAATCCGCTGGGCATGCGACAGAACAGAACACGGACCCGGGTACCGAGATATCGGACTCCTCACGGGAAGCCGGGCCCAGCGGTGTACAAGTACAAAATCGCGGCGCCAGCCACAATTGTCAAGGCCCGCGTTGCATTTGTCAGAGATATGAAAACGGCGAATTAGCTGCGGTGATAATGAATCAAGCCAGAAGTAATCAAGAAAGGGAAGATGTTTATCAAAATGCGGGTCATGTCTCGCGTGCGTTTCAGAATCGTTCCAACAATAGCACACTACAGTTACATCCGAATCTGAACCCAAATTATCAAAATCCGATTGATCTGATACGCAATTATAATCGTCGACTACAGCAACAACAGCAGCCACAGCAGCAGCAACAGCAACAACAACAACAACAACAAGAACCAGAGGAGAATATTTATGAACGTTTGGACAATGAAGACGACGATGACAATGAAAACGCGGAGATTCCTCGTAATGAACCACAAGCGCAAAACAATCCAGGCAACGCGGATAATCATATGTATGAAAGAATAGGCGAGCGAATATCGTGTAGCAGTAGAATGCATTGTCGCTACAAATATCATGTACCTGCTTATAGTTTCTTAAACGACGTGGAAAGCGCTAGAAACGCGAGCCAATACGATCAACCGAGACATATTTATATCGATTATTCTCGACTGAGTAGCAACATTCATCAGAGCTCTCTGAGCAGATTAGGTCGCAATTGTTTCTCTACGGAGAATATCGCGTATGCTTCCACGAGACGGTCCGTTTATCCAATGTACAATTGCACATGCCCGTACTGCAGGAACGTGGATGCGAGATACGTATGTCACCATTGTCACAATCTCTATAATAGATTACGATATCAGGACACTGCGAATTCCAGGCATTACGTGTACCAAGTCTCAAGAAACTGCAGATGTCCCTTTTGCCGCGGCGAGTACTCGTATGCAAAGTTCCCGGCTCTTCGCGCTGCTGAACTGCTAAAGATGGAATCCTGTCATTGTAGAAATCCAGCCAATTGTACCTGTCGTAATAAAGCTGATCTGAATTCTGCGATCTACATCGGACGATATCTGGATTGGATTAATCGGGCCGGCCAGTCCGTTAACAACCCTCTATACGCCATGATTCACGTAGGGAGGATGGATCGTGCTTCTGTATCAGGCCATGGAAACGCATCTAACAATGGAAACTCGTCGAACAACACCGATCCTGGTCCATCGACGTCCGGCAATGCGGCATCCAATGCAAGATTCAACGAGCCGAGTTCAACTTCAGTTTTGCGATCGGTATTCGCCCCCGGTGCCTCCACGTCAAACGCTCCTATTTGTCCCGTGAATCGCTACGTGGAGCATCAGCATACCTGCGATGATTCCTGTATCCGCAGTCAAAGCGGTAATCTAACTGGAATATGTCAATTTCTCGGCAGATGTGAAAGAACGGAGTGCAATCATGGAAGGCTCTCCGTACATTGGTGGTTCATCAATAAATGGCTTCCTCTGTGGAATTCTCACAATCTCGAGAGAAACGTGGATGGCGCGCCATCCGTGGATGAAATATCGCGGGAACAGCGAGAGAGCGACAGTGATGAGTCTTAAAGATCTATTCATCATGAGAGTGCCTGTTTTGTGTATTCCGAATGTTTAATATACACATCTTCTTCATTAATTTCTATCATTCGTGATGCAATTATGAAATTATTGACTCGCTCACATGAACAGCAGCACTGAGATCTTTAAAGCTTGCGTACAGGCGGAGATACCTTAATGATACAATAATAATTTTAAGTATATGTTCCATGACAATAAATTCGTACACTGCGATTTTTCAGAATATTTGAAGGATATGAGGAAAAATTGTTTTTAATTGAAAGCAATAATTATCCAAGTGATATCACTGCTGATTTCTTCACTTTGTTCTATATATCTTATTCCAATATTGTAGACATATTTTAGAGTGAATTTAGAATTGCGCTATTGTTACAATATGGTGCGCACTTACTTTTACATTATTTATTTGTTTATATCTTTAGAGATGTCATTATCGTGAGACGATATTATCGGAGAGATACATAATCATAGGTCATAAATACATTTTTTCAAAAGAATATTGAATAACAATATAGCTTGGATATCAATCTCTCTCAATATCAATGTATATATAAATATCTGAAAATGAAAAAAAAACTTAGAAACCTTTTAGCACTTTGACACCTGTTAATTAAGTTTAATTAAGTCAACATATTAGCTGTGATAAATTAGATATTAAAAATTGTTTAATTCATCGAACTAATTTTGCGTTGAGATCACTATCGTGATTTCAGACATTTGTTCGCGTCGCGCATGCATCCTAAACTTTCTACAGATACGAAATGAGACGAGAGTGAAGGAGTGAAAATTATGCAAAAATTATACGAAATTTTTATACAAGGAGCACGCGACTCAAGCGAATCTCGTCGACAGTAGACTTTATGTAAACCTAATTGCTCGTTTCATATTTTTATTGATGCCGTATGTATATTGTACAGACGTTGTCCCGTATGAAAATTTTAGTGTAGCTCGCTGACGTAATCAGTATTAAGTTATTTTTACACGTACAACTTTTGGACATCAATTCAGCCCCCGTGAGTGTTCGCGCTACCATCGTCGATGCTTCCCGACGTTGTACAAACGCTACTTCAGGAATAAAGATATTCACCACAGGATTGTCGCTGTTGTCAGTAATTTGCGGACCGATTTTCTGAAAATTTATCTAAAACAAACGTGGCGCCAACATTTACGAAACGATTGTCGAAAGCTGTTTGTGCGTGCATAGCGTTTCCAAATGAGATATCCTCCGTGAGGACTAATAACAATTGCGTATTTCATTGTTCTGAGTTTCAAAAAGCTAAATAATGCACGTGTACACGTTCTCCTTCCAACTTGGGCGTCTTTACGACGTACTGTCTAGCTGTTTTATAATCATATCCGGCATTAAGAATATCGATATATACACACACACACACACACACACACACACACACACACATATACAC